TGCGTTGGAAGACGCTGATCCCATGCTTATCTTCCTAAGACAGGGTTTTCTGCAGTTCGGCATGAGTTGAGATAGAATTGGCTGAGCGAGCTGAGCGTGGAGTTGAACGTTTAGGTTTTCTTCGCTATTCTCTCAATGTTCTTAAAATATGCCCAATTCCCCTTCCTCAGCTCTGATGCTAGCTCGATCTTTATGTTGTTTCTTAATTTAGAAGAACGTAGTTGGAGGATATAGGATATTTTATATTTTACGCTGAGCGCTAGTAGGGAAGCAAAAAGCAACGCATTTCCCATAATCATCATCTTCGTGAGCTTCCGATGCCGACTGACCTCGTCACATGCGCAGACGAAATCAGTCGTCAGCATCTTTACTTGCTGGATGTACTTAAGTACGAAGCAAAGTGATGATGAAGTTGCTGGCTGTCGACCACTTCCATGTGCAGCTCTGAAAAGTTAGGCGAGATGTCCTGGCGAACATCTTTTCACGTTCATGATGATTTCTTAGAAAAGTGAAAATCTGCTCGTAAAGTCACTAGAGAGCGCACAGCAACCCTTAAACCTTCGGCAGGACCACCCTCTTTTCCCGTCGCTTGGTGACCGCCTCTGTTTCCACAGATTTGAAAGCCTTAGGATGATGAGCGTGGGTGCTTGCAGTATGTCACACTCATACCACTCTAGCGAGTCTTGCGATCATCTGCTTTACATTTCGTTTATATAGATTCAGGGTCTTGCCTTTTTCTCATTCAATAATTCTCTTTATAAAGGCAAAGTTTGAATTGATGTTGTGCCATATCGTATTAGCCTTATGAGACTTTATATTCACGAATCGACAAGCAGCTCATTTCTCAAGCGTTCTTTTTGGAGTCCATGTTTTTGGTTTTTTAAATATGAAATTGGCGCTTCCATCAAAATGGGTGTTGCTCACTGAAACATTTCCTCTCTGAAAGGTTACTTTGTTTTCCACAGCTTCAGCCCTATTTCCTCTAGTTCTGCGTGGAGAACAGTTCGGAATCGTTCATACTACATATGCACCATTGAGGTCGACCATCAGTTGCATCACTAGTGATTACATAGTCAAGTACACCTCATTCCTTTTCAGAGGTGGATGATGAAGGAAGACCACCAGCAAAGGTGAGTTTTGAGCTCGAAATCAGCGAGAGGACACTCGTTGATCAAGACAGTGACAGCCAAACTGAGGGCTCTCGCAAAGGCGAAATGGATGTAGAAGAACAAGATGAATCGGTTGCCACAATAAAACGTTCTGAAGCCGAAACAGAAGCACAAGCAGATCTCGATGAAGTTGCAGCGACATCAGAAGATGACTCTTTCGTCAAGGTAATTTGTGTTGCATCCACCATTTTTGATGTTTGAGGTTCTTCAGTAGTGCCGGAGCAACACCCTTAGCGCTAGAGAACTCTTAAGTTTTCTTTTGATTTTTGCTTGTTTATTCATAGAATTCGGTGCAGATACCATTGTTCGGACGACCATCTGATGCTGAGTTGGGGCAAGAAGGAGAGTTGGACCTCCATCTGACTGAATTTATGACGTCGTGCAAAGCGCCGCCACCGCTGGAGGCAGTCCCTACTGATTGGGATACATTGAGCGACATAAAGAGCTTAGTAAGTGTACTTTCACATTCACCAGAAATCAGATGTGTTAATTCCTCCTATTGAAATGAAGTTATTTCCTTTTCTACCTTGGAGGGATTTTTGGATCAGCTGGGAAATTCCAGACATACAGGGGGGGGGCCAAAAAAAAAGACATTTTGCCTCCACTTCCAGATGGATTTAAGCACATTTTACTCAACTCAGACCGAACGGTTCCAACTTATTATTAAAGAGTGCATTCCATTCTATAAGAAAATCTTCATAGTGGCCACGTACGTGGACGGCATCAGAAGAATTAGCCCTGGAAACATGGTGCACTGGTCGATCTCAATGGGGTCTTCGAAGGATCGTGTACCATAACGACCCTTACTGGAAAGCTAGTTCCGAGGGGATTTGCACAGTGGTAGCTAATGCCTCTAGAAAACTATCCAACATTAAATCGATTCACGAAATACCTCCTTGAGCCTGACGACGGTGACAGATGACGTCATATTCTGAAGACGGTGAGGGCAGTGAAGGAGAGCCTGCGTACACTAATAGAGGAACACTTAGGGAATACTCTGCTGAGGAACTCCCGTCAACGACAGCAATCTCTGCGAAGAAAAAAGAGCCGAAGTCCGACATAGGCAAAATGTCTTTTTTTTTGGCCCCCCCCCCCCTGTATATGGACGCATACCTGGTACTTCATGTTTATCGCCTGACACTGACAGATTACACTGGGAAAATAACCTGGATTTACATATTCATTACAAAAGTCACATTCCACGACGTATGATGCCGTAGAACCCTTTTGTGAGGGAAAGTGGTGATCCGAAGCGCATCAAATGCGTAGGTTGTACCCACTTCGCTACAGTAAGTTGCGCGATAAGGGCGTAAAGGCCCAAGAATGCTCGTGTAGCTCCATACTGCTTTCAGTTCTCCGTCCACTGAGTAATGGCTAAGGGGTTTAGCAGACCATCACCGACTTGACAACAAGTGGCAAGGAATATCAACAAGAAGATATTTGAATTTTCCCTTCCTTCGTGCTCTTGAGTCTTCTGAAATCAACAGTCCACATGAGCGTTCTGTTCCACTGGTTTTGGACAATTTCTTTTGCATTCGTCAATGCTAGTGGATTAATAATCCCCTCCACTCACCTTTAGTTTTTGGTCATCATAAGCACATCAACATTATTGTGGATCTGGCTTCCAAAAATTCTTCAATGAGCGTAGAGTCGATCTAATCGATACGTATCTCATAGTCTTACGTGGTCGCGGACTGTGCCTTCAATTTGAGATAGTTGAGGCAGCATCCATAGTAGCTACTTGGCGGAATGTGCAGTCCTAGACTATGAAATGTATCGATTAGATCGATTCCAGGCTCACTAAAGAATTTTTTGTAATCTAAGTCCACAATAAGGTCGCAATCATTCGTATCAATAAGTAATCGATAAGGCTGACTGCACTGCCTTGCCCTAGTCACTGATTCTGCCCATTCCGCACATTTAACGATTTTTCTTTATATTTATGCCTATCTAATCCCATTCCCATATGACGCACATCAGACTTATCGTGGCCATAAACACGATGTATGGGGTGAAGAAGTTGTGCGCTGAGTAAGACCAGCTTGTCAGGGAGCTTTGCAAAGGCTTCAGGTGAGATAGAGTGGTAGTGGGTTTTACAGGGAAGTGCGTTGATGAGTTAATAGAGTGTGACTGCTCGACGATGGAATCAAAGTACAAAGGCGTTGTAGCGGTTATATTAAGAGCTCTGCAGGGAAATGGGGCAGAGAATACCAGGAAAATATGTTCTGTGATGCGCAAGTGAGCGCTGTAAGCAGAAAAGAAGAGATATAGGCCGGCATATTCTACCATCGCTTCCGACGCAATTCGCTGCGTAATAGTTTGTCCTGGCGAAGTAATCCCATTCTTCTGCAGAGGGAGGATATCCCGGAGCGGATAAACTAAATAGTTCGCTTCTGCAAGGAGGGGTAGGGGAGTATAAAATGAAAATTTTGTCATAGTTATAGAATTTATATGAACTGTCAAGTAGCGAAAGTATGTGTCTGATTTATTATTTTTGTACTTCGGTTGTTTTTTCAGTTGGACGGCTTTTCTCAAAAGCAAGGCGTGTTCGATAAGTTCGTTGCTGAAGTCCGAGAACACGGAGACAATAGTGAATGAATACGAATATGTTAAACTTTGGTATTCACATTTTATGGACGATTAATTTTCGAATACGATCATTAAGAAGCGTCCGGTGTGTAAATTGACTCATCAAGGTTGTCATGCTCAGGGGAAGGGTTGCTTGAAGCTGCTCAGAGCAAACTGTAGATAAAGAGGCTGCATATTTGGTGAAGCACAACAGAGCAGTGTTGTGGAAAATGTGTTTTGGCGTAAATGTGAGCATCTCACACCGTACGCTAGACCATATTTACGGCAAAATATCTTGATAGTCTTTGTAGTGTTGTCATATTGAACCGTAAAGTAGAAATGTTGATAACAGAATCAAAACAAAATAACAATAACGTAGTTAGTTACTCAGGGCAAAATTAATTCAGTTAACAAATAATAGCTGTTTTCGACTGGCACCTCTGGTCTTCCATGTCCTTGAGGACCATCGTGTTTAACTTGATCCAATTTTGGTGGAACTCGGGAGATCATAAGTTGCTTGATATCTTAGTTATGTTTTAACTTTCAATGGTGTGACCTGGAACCGGTTCATTTTTAGTGTACTTGATAGCTCTTTTTTAAATGCATGTTTTATCCCGTGTTACCTTTGGCAGAGAATCTTCATGTCCGCCGTACATGAATACCGAACTTCATTGTGCCTACGGTTATACTCATCATCTTAGGATGGTTGAATTTGTTGTTAGACTAAAAAATTATAAACTTATGGTGATTTTACGTGATTTTATGAGTTTTAGTAAAAAGAGATTGAAGTAATGGTTTTTTTTTCGTTTTATTTATGTGTGTTTGATTGTACATATTGTCATATATTGACTAGATTTTCCCTCGATCACACTTCATTTTTATCTAGTGCATTGTCTTGATCACTGCTGTTCCTTTAATCGTCATGTGAGTGTCCTTTTGTTAGGAGAATTTTACTCTTTTGTACATAGGTGCGCCCGGTTGTTATCAGCGCTGAACTCGTGTTTTTATTTTGTCTTCTATGGAAGTTCATACCTCACGTTGAATAAACCATCAATGGTGAGAATACCATGTCATTACGAATTTAGTAATACATCAACGACTGTATAGAGAAATAGATAAATGTTAGAGCTTCTAACGTTGTACGAGTTATTTGTTCTTTGATCACTATCTCATACTTTGTGCTGTCTCTAGCAAAGTAGTGTGTAGCATTCAAGGAATGTTCCCCCACATAGCTGCGTTCCTTCTTAGTGTAGAAAGAAGAGTACAGAGGTTCAAGTATTTCGCTACGGAACCCTTCATCGACCGGCGGGTTTAGGGTGGTTGTCTGCTGCTGTCACCCCCTCAAGGGTCACTACTCAAGCCTGCTAGTGTGAATGTATGCCGCCTTTGAGTCCACTTCAGTAACCGATGAGTAATGTGTTCGAAACTCATAGGGCAATTCTGGAATGACAGAGTCAAGTGGAATCCAAGCAATGGCTGAAAAGTGGATAGAATTTGGAGAGTGGAACAGAAGATAATGCCAAGGAAAGAGAAACCATGCTTCACTTTAGGCCGATGTCATAGTTTGCGAATCGAGCGATTCGCTAGCGAATCGCTGGATCCGAGCGTTGCGCCAGCGAATCGAACGTTGCACCAGCGAATCGAACTTGCACCAGCGAGTCGAACGATGTACCAGCGACTCAATAGTGGCGGGACCCAACGTTCAAGTCGCTCGATTCGCAAACTATGACATCGGCCTTAGAATGCCCGACAATTGGGAGGTGCTTGATGTTTTTCGACTGTGCTATTGTTCTTCCCTTCCATGAGCATGCTGGTGCTCATTGCCCGACTTGGTACTTGTGAAGGAGCAAATTACATGAAGGTGTGATCAGGGGTGATAGGTCGTCCCGGCAACAGTAATCTATTTTCTGTCAATGAGAGAAGCTCAAAGATGCGTGAGACATTCTGTTTGTGCAAGGGAACTGAATGCCTTGGGTGTTCTGCACCACGTACTATGAGCGACATGATGCCCTCCCAGCTACCCTCCCCCTTTCCCCCAAAGTGCATTTGTGTCGCAACTCATAGTAACTCATTCGGTCGTGGAGCCGAAGCTGGTAGAGGGTTGGATTCAAAGGTCTTGTTGAAAGGTAGAGGATAAGGGTTTCGAAGCCGGGTGTAATACCTTGAAAAGAGATGTTCTCCCACAAAATTCCTTCCATTTCTGCATGCCAACTTCTTGTCACTTCTTTTTACCTCGCTAGTTCAGAAAAATACGAATTAGAGCTACTGAGATGTGGCATCGAACAACTTTACCGAACCAGATCCAAAATCCTTTTTTAACAAGTTGTGGCTGCACTATATGTTTTACTCTTCACTGTGTGGAAGCAGATTTCTTTTCATCTTTCTTCAGATGCTTGTGCGCTTGGGATTGACATCGCTACGTCGCGCATCACAATTTGCTGGCGTTAAGGATCGTGTCAAATATGTACCACGTCGCGCTTTACTTTATGTACCGGCCAGTAATCAGAAAATGCTCGACAAAGTACCAAACATTGCGGTGAGTCCAGTTGCCACCTGTTTCTTGTTGCTTTTGTTTACAGAGTCATAATGCTAAGAAAACTCATAGATCTTTATCAATGACCAATTGGGGGCCAATACCTTGGAGGGGTTGGTCGGTGCTGATTGCTCATCGTCGTACACCGGTTAGGAGTGTACGGCCATTTCCGCTAAAACCAACAGCGTTGAAATGAAATGGTGCCATAATTCTTGAAAATGTAGGATAACATCATAAGGGAACGCCCGCAGTTGAGATGTAGGTGGTTGGTTAGTGATAAAATGCAAGCGTTTTTGTCCACTTTGTGACCGTAATATTGTTCAGAGGATAACAAGAAAATGTTTGGAGAGGAAAGTTAATCGGATCGGGTGGGTAGGGAAACGTTGCCCTGTCAAACTTGCCTTTTGCTTCCTCCTGCAGACGCTTTAAAGTCTCTCTGAATGGTCGTTGCCACGGTATCCGTACGACTTTGAATCAATGTGTTCTCACTTCAAAGTTTATGTTTATTTTCAGCCGGCCGGAATCTGATAGGGGTTTTGTTCAACTGGAGTGGAGATCAAATGCTATTCTGCGCGGAGGCTGAGCCTAGGGGGTTGCCTGTCGTAGATAGAGCATTTTGACTCTGCAATACGAAGTTTTAGATACGACTTACCAGTCTCTGACGTTGATCGGTGTCACTTCCCTGAAGGTTAGATCTAATAGATAATTTAGCGTGTTCTGTTTCAAGCTTGCCACGATTAGTGATGTTACATCTTGACCTTGAGAGTCATCAACATCAACGCATTCCCATAATTATCATCATTTATCATATTCACGAAACGCCTAAAGAATATGCCCACGTGTAGTTTGTAATTAGCCGTGCAGAGCCACGTCACAGGTCGTTATAATTCTTTCAAGCGTTTATATATCAATACTGATAAAAAGGTGTAAAATGGGGGGCTTATCAGTGTGAGAAATGTATTGAAACACTATTTCCTGTTGGAGCTGATTTGAAAAGTAGAGGAATGTTTAGGCACTGTGTTTGTGTTGGAACTTGAATATGAAGTGCGGTGTCGTTAGACGTTGACGTCAAAAGCAAATAGCGCGACCAGACAAGCGCGTCGCCAAGCCACACAAGCTCTAGACAAGCTGAGTGGGGAACGATTACGCTGTTTTGAATTGGGTTTGCGAGTGAATTCTGTTGCAAGTGGTTTGTTGGAAGACGACGTAAAGGTGCGTGTTTTTTTGATATTTTTTCATCCACACTAGTATTTGTAAACAGTTGTAAAGTGCTCAAAATGAACGATTTTAATCAGAAGGATCATTTTTACAGCACCACTGGCAGTAGCAGATTTTCATTTCTTGGAGAATTAAATAATGGAACTGCCTTAGTCTTTATAGTCTGTATTGAGCTTACACAGATAACATTTTTTTTCAAATCAGCTCGAAAACTGAAGGAATTTCAGGAGGTTTGCAAAGCAGAACATCTGCCTCAAGCATTCATGGTTCCTAAAGTAGACTCTCCAGAAGATGTGGCGACAATTTTTGACATCTTCAGAACAAATTACACTGCAGAGCGAGTCACGGATACTGTTAGTGTGCAAGTTTAAAGGTCACTTTGTGGCATAGTATAGGTGCTACTTCCTTAGAATACTTGAGTATTCTGCTGTATTAGTTTAGAATACTCGTCTTGTGATTTGGATTGAATCAGCACGTGCACTCCTTGATATGCCACGAATTCTGTCCTCGACGTTGAACCTTCACAAGAATTCTGGCTTCTTCAAATTGGACGCCGTTGTTTTTGGGTCTGACGACTATTGTGCAGATATAGGTGAGTAACGTTGGAAGGAGACGTAAGTGAGCAGTGTTTCATAATATTTTACTATTTGAGTGTTTCCTACTTATACCCCGATCATGTGGTCTGTTTGCTTGTTTTTTGTTCTGTTTCTTTTTTTTATCTCTTCTGTTAGAACCGTATGTATCCTGAGGTGTTGCTCTGAAGGACTACTCTCACGCGGTCAATACAGGGTTACGATCTTCCTCCTTCCTTTTGTAACAAAATGCCGCTTAAAGCTGGACCCAAGAAGTGACTGAGTTAGAAAAAGACTCCATTTTGAGCAATGCTCCACCACACTACTTGATTGAGGACGCATAAGTAGCCAAGCAATCGATTTCTTGGCAAAGGGTGAATGCCAGCAAAGAATTACAAGGACGAAGAAGTACTATCTAATAATTCGAGAATGGCATTAGCGTAGTCTGTTCGACTTCATGCATTCGGTAGTTAGTCAGAATGTGACCGTTGTGATCGTAAGCTTGCGCGCCACAGCGACCCTTCCTTAAAGCAACAATCCAGGAACGAATTCGCGGGTAAGGACCACCTATAATGACGTTGCAGGTGAGAAGTTGGTCAATGGAGAAAGAAAAAGTAGAAAAAAACGTCGGGCAGGGGCTTAGACAGGGACTCCCGCCGTTTAAAGCAACAATCCAGGAACGAATTCGCGGGTAAGGACCACCTATAATGACGTTGCAGGTGAGAAGTTGGTCAATGGAGATAGAAAAAGTAGAAAAAAACGTCGGGCAGGGGCTTAGACAGGGACTCCCCCGGCCGTTTAGGGAGATGTGTGTTGGACGAGTTGTCCGAACCTGCCCGTAGTACATGCGCTCCAGTTGACTGCTGGCAAATAGCCATGCATGCTTGCAAATACATAACTATTTGCCAGCAATCGAAATTGAAGCGCTTCAATTGGGTTCTTATGGAATCGACCTCATACAGCGCGGCGGTCCCGCAACGACCGCTAGTCGAGCAAGCGCTCTGCACAGCGAATGTTGGGCGATCCGCCTCTTTATGGGTGATCCGCCCCCTCCAAGAGGACTTCGACCCCTTCCAGCGCATTTTAGAGGTAGGTTTTGAAATTAAAGACATTTCCTATAAACTTTAGTTGGGCTGGGGCATGTTTTGACCGCCTAATGACCAAGTAGTTGAAACCCTGCCTGGACTGTTGCTTTAAGAGACGTGTGTTGGACGAGTTGTCCGAACCTGCCCGTAGTACATGCGCTCCAGTTGACTGCTGGCAAATAGCCATGCATGCTTGCAAATACATAACTATTTGCCAGCAATCGAAATTGAAGCGCTTCAATTGGGTTCTTATGGAATCGACCTCATACAGCGCGGCGGTCCCGCAACGACCGCTAGTCGAGCAAGCGCTCTGCACAGCGAATGTTGGGCGATCCGCCTCTTTATGGGTGATCCGCCCCCTCCAAGAGGACTTCGACCCCTTCCAGCGCATTTTAGAGGTAGGTTTTGAAATTAAAGACATTTCCTATAAACTTTAGTTGGGCTGGGGCATGTTTTGACCGCCTAATGACCAAGTAGTTGAAACCCTGCCTGGACTGTTGCTTTAAGTAGACGGCTTGTCTATCAAGTGATACCAATACCTCGGTACGCAAATGCAAATGCATGTGTCTGAATTCTCTGCGTTCTCTGTGAAGAAAACTTCCCTACGAATGTACATGGGGAAAAAGGGGGTCGGGCCACAGTCGATATCTCGAAGTCTGATTGGGCGTGTCACCGGAAATGACGTGGCAGCCACCGCACTTGATAGATGTTGTGTGGATAAAATACTCCGCCAGATATCAGCAAAGCGTGTTGGAAGCAGCTTATCCGCGCAACTTCTATCAAGTGCGGTGGCTGCCACGTCATTTCCGGTGACACGCCCAATCAGACTTCGAGATATCGACTGTATGTGTACTGTAGGTCATGTATCAAAATTGAAGATCACTCATTATCAAAACTAGATCTTCGAAACGCTCTTCTGAAAAAAAAACTTGACTCCACTCAAGGTTTGTAGCTATGCGTTGTGGATATGTACGTGAGTGGGACCATCATCAGTGTGGTCCGGTGCTCAAAAATCTTATTTCAGGTGCTACGCGTACGTCAGAGGGCAGTGAAGTTCTCTATGCTCGTCAACGATTTGTCGCATGCTGTAAGGCATTCCAACTCCAGGCGATTGATAGCGTTTATATCGACATCAAGAATCTCGACGGCTTACGGAAGCAGAGCGACGAAGGTATGGAATTATCCAGTTGCCGAAAACATTTTTGGAGCATCTTCTTTGATTTTCTGCTGTTTAGGCCATGCATGGGGATTCACAGGAAAGCAAACCATCCATCCCAGTCAGGTATGTTATAGCTTCGATCCGTAAATTTACCTCTCTTATAGGAAACTGTGAAAACAGGGAGTTAGATTGAATACTGTACGAATTTTTATCAAAGTTTTTTTTTTCTAGTTTTCAGTTCCTGTTCAGGTGCCGGTGGTTCAAGAAGCCTTTATGCCTTCAGCAGAAAAAGTAGAGTGGGCTACTGAGTTGGTCCACGCCTTCAGTCAACACCAAGCAGAAGGGAAAGGAGCGTTTCAATTTCGAGGCAGTGAAAAACATAGAATCGACCATTGCTACTCCAAGCGACCCAATACAATACAAGCTTGGTACTCTAAATGAAACAGTGTGGAGAAGAAGTTTTGATTGAGTATTAATAATTCATTCCTTTTGAGACTTCATTATCGATAAGGAGCCACTGGCGCTCGAAATATTAATGTCGTAAATAATGACGCCCTTTGTAAGAGCTCAAAAAAAACTCGGGTAGATTTTCTAAGTAGTTGAATCGGTCTCTTCATATCTATTTTAACGATCCTTTTTGAAATATAATTATGTATGTTGTCGTGCTTAACCATAAAGACTATCATGACCTGAACCTTCGAACAAATACTGAGTAGGTTTCTGGTTTCTTAGCTCGCTTCGCTATTCTACTTTTACTTTCTGTATACTGGTTTTGAGAACTCAGACCAAAACCTCATTTGGTAAAGGGGTTTTGTCCAGCACGAGAACGTGCCTGCTCATTTTATTCTGGAACGTACTGTTTTGAGAAGGTACTGCCAAATGTTGCATGTGATGTGTTCTAACATACATACATATAATATGGAGAGCAGCTTAACAGATAGAGAATTTCGTTTTCATTTCCGAATAGGTTGTTGCTTCGAAAGCTCCAAACTGCCTCCCGACAATGCGTATCATAATTAAATCCCGCCAGCTTAATTTGATTTTTCATGATTCTTGTATAATCCGGGAAAAAAAGAAAAACAAGGCTGTGGTTACAGTGAAGGTTCCCGTTCCTAGTCTTCTTTATGCTATAAGGAAAAACATTACAAAAGGCAAATATATTTATTTACCCATTTCGCACCGCCTAAAACCCATGGGGGGGTCATACCCAATTTGCTTCCAGTGGCCGCCCGACACCCACGGGGTGTGAGTGACTTCATAAGGTGATTCTTTCCGAGGATTCGATTTTTCGACTATTTTCTATGTGGGCACATATCTTCGCAGCATACTCATCTCCTACCTTTTTTAAAAACCTAGACATCAATTACTGAAACTGTTGCCTATTTATATTCATGAATATGATTATATATCATAGATAGAGGACTGGTGCCTTAAACCAGCGCCTTAGACCGCTCGGCCATCTCGCCAATGGTGGTTTCCTCGGGGGCTTACCTCATCGATACTTTGATGTCTGGGTCCATTTCCCTGCGTTTCCTTCTGCCATTGTGTTTTACGCCGTGATTGTGGTTCACGAGCTGGCATGCAAAAGGGCTGACGAGAGTGGGATTCGAACCCACGCCCCCGAAGGGACTGGTGCCTAAAACCAGCGCCTTAGACCGCTCGGCCATCTCGCCACGAGGTTTGGTTTCGTTTGTGGAGCGTCTGGGGGCGCGTGCGTGAGTGAGTGCATGAGATCGTGGTTCTGAATGCGACTAATTCTTTATTTCGCGCTGTGCCTGTAATAAATCTCGGGTGGAGCGGTGAAGAAGGAGTCATGGTGGGATTCGAACCCACGCCCCCGAAGGGACTGGTGCCTAAAACCAGCGCCTTAGACCGCTCGGCCATCTCGCCACAAGGTTTAGTTTCAGGGACGCGCCACTCTATATCAGAACCGCTGAATGGCACTAATTCTTTATTTTCGCGGCTGTGCCTGAATAATCTTCGGTAGCGGTGAAAGAAGTCATGTGTTAGCCATGCAAAAGGGCTGACGAGAGTGGGATTCGAACCCACGCCCCCGAAGGGACTGGTGCCTTAAACCAGCGCCTTAGACCGCTCGGCCATCTCGCCAATGGTGGTTTCCTCGGGGGTTTGAGTTTGAAGTCTGCGCAAAAATGAAACCTTTGGGTCTCGCCGTGCATGAAATACCATTGTCGCTTGTGTGAAAAAACAAGCCACAAAATGATGATAAAACGCTACTTGATTGCGAACTGCTGACATCGATCCCGCAAATTCACCTCTGTAACCGACCTTCATCATACCGCTTGCATTCCTGGTGACAAATATTATACCCAGCCTATCTCTACTGCAGTGAATGCCGAATTAGAGCTAAATACACTCAAGTAATCGTTTTGAATTCGGAAGAGAAGACTAGCTTGGAAGGCAAAGTTCGGGCTCAGACCCACTTAATGAGCCTTTACGTGGCTAGAAGCGCTAGGTACGCAAGTGTAGAGGTCGCGTCACTTCCCTACTTCGAAAAGCGTTATTTAGACGCTAGGCGCTAAGAACTTTGACACGCTCCACCTGTTGCGACACGCTCCGCCCACCGCTCGATATCTTGTCTGCGTCGCAATGTTGATCTGCTATGCTCTCTCTACTCGACTTCTCTACGCTCTCCGCGCTCACATTATCTCTCATCTCCCTGCCGGCCTTTTGAACTTCTCCGCAGCGTAGAGCAAAAGGCTCGTATTTCCTGTGTATTTCACGATTTTTTTTCTTTTTCTCCACTGGCGGTCCACTACCTACCCCTACTTTCACATTTGAGTGGAATTAACTCATAATTCAATCCTGAATCTTGCCTTTAAGTGTGTTTACGGTAGGTTCAAATGGGGTTCGTAGGTGACG